GGGAGTCACCTGAGGGGGCTGAGGAACAGTAAGGGTTGCTGCCAGTTTCTTCTTCTGTTATCTTCATCCTGCAAGAGTATCTGCCCTATGTCATCCAGAGCTCTCCTTTATGAGGTTCCTCTTTGGATATACTGTGGTCTGGGAGCCCCTTGAGGGCACAGTCTGTCCCTTATCAGAGCTCAAGTGCTGTGCTGGGAGCTCCGTTGATGTTTAAATCTGCTGCAGCAAAACTCATAACTTCCTCTTTTCCCAGGTTGCTCTTTTAACTATGACAGTACGTAACTTTTAAAAAATATTCTGTATATAAGCCTTTTGCCATTGATATAAGTTATAAAAACTTTTTCTTAATTTTTGCATAACTACATTTTTCACTTGAGGTTGTCTTTGTTAGCAGGAAAATAAAAAAAATGCTTTATTTTCTTTTACTGTTTTTGTATCCTGTCTAAGACGTACTTGCCTACCCCAAGGTAGCAAAGATATTTTTTCTTATTTTCCTCTACATGCTTTGTTGCTTTAGCTTTAATGTTTAAGTTTATAATATATTTTATATTTTTGTGCATCTTAGTTAAGAGTCAATTTGGGTGTGTGTATATGTGTATTTGATATATGTATATATATATATATGGTAATTATTTGATCATACATGTTTGGATCTATTTTGGGATACTTTATTATTTCTACTAATGTACATGTTCATTTTTATAAATGAAAATCACATTGTTTATTATTGTAACATACCTTAAAGTGACCTAGAATAAATAGGTCCTTCAACTTTGCAATTTTTTTTTTTTTTTTTTTTGAGACTGAGTTTTGCTCTTGTTGCTCACAGGCTGGAGTGCAATGGCATAATCTTGGCTCACTGCAACCTCTGCCTCCCAGGTTTAAACTATCCTCCTGCATCAGTGTCCCAAGTAGCTGGGATTACAGTCATGCACTACCACACCCAGCTAATTTTTGTATTTTTAGTAGAAAGAGAATTTCTCCATGTTGGTCAGGCTAGTCTTGAACTCCCGACCTCAGGTGATCTGCTTGCCTTGGCCTCCCAAAGTGATGGGATTACAGGCATGACCCACCATGCCCAGACAGATTTTGCAATTATTGAAGATTGTTTGGCTCTTCTAGATCTATTGAATTGCTGCATATATTTTAGAAATAGCATGCCAATTTGTATAAAAAGTGTACTGGAATTTTGAATGGAACTAAGTTAAATTTATAAACAATTTGGAGATAAACCCCTTAAGTCTTAGTTGATGAACATGATACACTTTTTCATTTATTTATTTATTTTTCAGCAATGTATTAGTGTTTTTAGTTTGGAATTACTGCATATGTTTCATTAAATGTATTTATATGCATTTTAGGTTTAAATTTATTGTGAGATTTTAGAATTTCATTATCCAGGTGTTTATGACCAGCACATAAAATACAATTTAATTTTATAAATTAACATATTATAACATAGCATAATAAAATTATTAGTTCTTGAAGGACTTTTGTGCATTCCTAAAGGTTCTATACATATACAATTGTTATCTGTGAATAAGGTTTGCTTATTCCTTTCCAATCTACATTTTTAAAATTCTTTTGACTTGCCTGTTACAGTGGTTAAAACCTCCATTTTATTTTGAACAACATGTTAAGAGTAGACATTCCTTTCTTTCTATTGATACTAGGGGGAAATAATTGTTTTTTGTGATTAATTAGGATATTGGATATAGGTATTTAAAAATGTTCTTTATCACGTAGAGGAGCACATCTATTCCTAGAATTCTAAAGTTTTTAATTTGCTTTTTTTAAAAAAAAACAAAAGTTGAGCTGGGCGCGGTGGCTCACACCTGTAATCCCCACACTTTGGGAGGGTGAGGCGGGTGGATCACGAGGTCAAGAGATCGAGACCATCCTGGTCAACATGGTGAAACCCCATCTCTACTAAAAATACAAAAAATTAGCTGGGCATGGTGGCACGCGCCTATAGTCCCAGCTACTCGGGAGGCTGAGGCAGGAGAATTGCTTGAACCCAGGAGGTGGAGGTTGTGGTGAGCTGAGATCACGCCATTGCATTCCAGACTGGGTAACAAGTAATATTTATGTTTAGAGGTAATATTTATAAACATTAGTAACTTTTGAAAATGTCTTTAGAAATGCCAAGTAATCAAAAGTCAGGAACTGTGTATACTAATTCTGACTCTAATAAGTTACTAAATTGGGAAATCTTAGAAAATGACTAATCTTTAAGGCATTACTAAAAAAAAAAGTTGATAGTGAATTGTCTCAAATATTTTTCTACATACATTGAAATATTATGTTTATGCTTTTGTTCTTTAGCCTGTTGATATGGTAAATGTTTGAAAATGGATTTTGGATGTAAAACCAAGCTTGCTTTTCTAGAATAAATACCACTTATGTGGTCATGAAGGGATATATTTTTCATATATTACTAGGTTCGGTTTGCTAATAGACTGTTTACGTATATTTTTCTTGTATGTTGTCCATATGGGACATCACTTATACTTTTCTTCTGATGTTTAGTGGGGTTTTGATATCAAGTTTATTATGTCTTCATAGTAGTTACAGAGTCCTAACTCCTGTATTTTCTGAAAGAATCAGCTTAGCGGTGATAGCGTCTCCTTCTTAAATGGTTGAACACATGCCTAGAATTACAATTTTTCTTTTCTCTGAATTTAATCTTTGCAATGAATATAGGACGCCTTTCATAGTCTCTTCCTTCTTTTGTAAGTTTTGGTTAGGTGTTTTAAAACTATAATTGTTCACTTTAAGCTGCCAGTTTCTTTCATGAAGTTATTTATCATGTCCTTTCATTATTCCTTTTAACATCTGTCAGCTCTCAGTAATGACCCCACTTTCATTCATGATATTGATAACTTGTGTTTCCGTTATCTTTTTCCAAACTATCATTTTTCTTGCTATGGGTTTATTCAATTTATTAGTTTCTCCAAAGATCTGATATTTGTCTTATTAAATTTTCTTCATTACATTCTCTTTTCTATTTAATTTTTTTCATGTTTTATTTATGTATTTTTTCACTTTGGTTTATTTTTTATTTTTTTTATTTAATTCTTTATTTAATTTTTTTTTCTTATTTTTTTATTGCATTTTAGGTTTTGGGGTACATGTGCAGAGCATGCAATACAGTTGCATAGGTACACACATGGCAGTGTGTTCTGTTTGCTTTCACCCCTTCACCCACATTTGGCATTTCTCCCCAGGCTATCCCTCCCCTCCTCCACCTCCCACTGGCCCTCCCCTTTTCCCCCCAATAGACCCCAGTGTTTAGTACTCCCCTCTCTGTGTCCATGTGTTCTCATTTTTCATCACCCGCCTATGAGTGAGAATATGCGGTGTTTCATTTTCTGTTCTTGTGTCAGTTTGCTGAGAATGATGTTCTCCAGATTCATCCATGTCCCTACAAACGACATGAACTCATCATTTCTGATTGCTGCATAATATTCCATGGTGTATATGTGCCACATTTTCCCAATCCAGTCAGATGCTTTATTTAATTTTTTTTCAGGTTTTATTTATGTATTTTTTTGCTCCTCCATTCTTGTTAAGATCATTGAGTTTACACCTACATTCTTTTTGTGTATATATTTAAATATTAAATTTCATTCAAATGACTACTTAAGATTCATTCACAGAGTCTGATATGTTGTATTTTATTTTGTTCAGTTCCAAATGTACATGCTTTAAAGTAATATGTATATACATTAAAATGTTGTTTTAGAACACAAAATGCAAATAAACTTCACAGAAAAAAAATTAAAACATAGTGTGATATTTCTTACAGTTTAAAGATTACACAAACTATTTCCAGATCAGTTTAGCAAGAAAGCCTGTGTTCCGTTTCTTAGTTTCAGGAAAATTACAGAATTTTAGAGTAATAAAAAATAAGAACAAAATCATTTTTTAGCATATTCACTATTATGTAAGTCGTGCTCCCTATGACCTATGCTGTTTGAATTCAAGTATAATATTTCAAATATTGAGAGTCAATTATGTTTATAGGAAATATTTATAAACATTAGTAACTTTAAAAAATGTCTTTAGAAATGCCAAATAATCAAAAGTCAGGAACTGTGTATACTAATTCTGACTCTAATAAGTTACTAAATTGGGAAATCTTCGAAAATGACAAATTTTTAAGACATTACTCATCTTTTAAAAACAAACAGTAAGGCTGGGCAAGATGGCTGATGCCAGTAATCCCAGCACTTTGGGAGACTGAGGCAGGTGGATCACAATGTCAAGAGATCAAGACCATACTGAGCGTGATGTCCTGCACCTTTAATCCCAGCTACTCAGGAGGCTGAGGCAGGAGAATTCCTTGAACCTGGAAAGTGGAGGTTACAGTGAGCCAAGATTGCGCCATTGCACTCAAGCCTGGCAACAGAGCAAGACTCTATCTCAATATATATCTATTATATATATAATATACATATATATTACTTTTAAATATATATATTAGGAAGTTTTTTCATTGCAATTACACAAAGTTGGATAATTTTAATGAATACTTGAATACAAACTAAGAGCACCTATAAAAACAGAGAACATGCAAACATTTTTGCATTAGGAAAATTATGGTTTCTAAGGATAGGATTTCCCAGTTGGTTGAAATATGACATTAAAGAGAACTTTGTAGATAACCAAAATCTTGCATTATTCTAAGTATGGTTTCTAAAAGCAGGCCACCTTAGATAATTAAACAAAATGATACTTTTATAAGGCTGTACATTTTCCTTAGCTACGCCTTAATGTTTCTGAAATCCAAAACAGATTAAGTGTTTTTTAGTGTCCAGATATTTGTGGTCGCTTGGCTTACTTGCAAAACGCTGGCTTTAGTGTAACTGAAATAAAATTTTATTGTAGTATCTGCTTTACTTGATATTATTGAGTGTCCTTGAAACTTTCATGGAAGGCAGCAGTTCAGAAGGGTACGGCATTCTCACCAGTGGGGTGTTTAATTCTGTCTCCTGCAGGTGCGCCAAGTGACCAGAGCAGTGGCACCTCCTCTCCTCTCTGTGACAGCGGCTTACATCTCAACTATCATCCCAACAATACAGTAAGATGACCCAGGCATAGCTCAGATTAATAAGGAGAGAACATACAGTTTCTAAAAACTGCTATTGAATCCGATTTATCTGATAGATAGGAAATCCCTGATTGCATCACCATTTAAGTACTATTATAAGCAAGACATGAAAAATAAATAGGTCTGTTTTTTTTTTTTTTTGTGCCACATTTTTTCCCTCTCCAGTCTGTGTGGATTAAGTTTTTTTTTTTTTTTTTTTTTTTTTTTAAGCAATAGATATAATTAAATAGCGGATGTCACTGGGGATGTATAATATCATACAATCCTTTTAGGACACTGCACATTATATGTGATTTCAGGTTCAAAATGCTTTGACATTGGTTTAATCACTTTCTTTTGAAATTACTTAACTAAAAGTAACTATTTAATTTGCCATTTGTTAGGATTTTTTAGTCACCTTTATGCACACTAAGTAATTTCTGCAAAGTGAGAAAATCTGATTCACACATTATCTTAACATGTAATGAACATTTAATTATACATGTATTTAATAAAAGATAAAATTACTCTTTGTTTTATAGACATTTGATAAAATTTTAATTTTTATTTCCTACTTGGATCTTGAGTAAATTGATTTAATATCCTATAAACATGTTTGAAGTTTCTTGTTTTTCATTCTTCAAAACACTCACACATTCTTAAAGAAATAATTTTCTCTGGTTATAGGCAGATCTAACAATTATCTTTCATGCTCACAAATGTGAAGAGAAGCAGAGCTGACCTTAAGCAGAATTTTACTGTTCTGTTTCACATATTACGGTACATACATCATGCAGCTTCTTCTCCCAACTCGTGTGATTCATCCCGCATTTGAAATTTTTGTCCAAATAGCGGCATTTTACTTCAAAGCAATCCTTTGACACATCTTCAGCCCTGAATGACCTTCACCGTACCTGATTGCCCCGGTATTATTCCTCAGCTGAGTACCTTAGACCATGAAGTTGTCGACTATTTTCCATGATAAAAGGAAATTTGCCAAGACCAAAGGTTGTCTGTACAAATGTAAGGATACTTTCTAAAACCAACCTCAGCTGGACATATTTCATTTGGCCATCTTTTAAACTTTTTTTTTTTGCCAGAGAAACAATTACCACATAATAAATGATATTTAAAACCACAATACAGCATGATTGGAGGAAATTCGAGAGGAAATATACAGGATTCCCAATGAAAAAACGAATATTTAAAAATATAATCTAAGTATATATTTATATAAATAAAAATTCATGTATATATAATATATATAAATAAAAATTTATGTATATAATATATATAAATAAAAATTTATATATAATTTTATATATATATTATATAATATATATAAATTAAAATATATAAATATAATATATATAAATAAAAATATATAAATATATTTATATATAATATATATAAATTAAAAATATGTATATAATATATATAAATAAAAAATTATATATATTATACATAAATAAAAATGTATGTATATATGTTATATATAAATAAAAATTTATATATATTTTCATTGGCTCCCTTCTCAATTCTACAGACTCCTTACAGTCTCCAACCAAATTTTTGCCTCTTGCTTTTGAAACTGCTTTTCTCACCTTCCCTCCCATCCCAGATGCCTTTGATAACTTCCATGCTCTCACATTTTCCTTCACTGCTCTGGTGCCTCCGCCCTCAGTTGCTAGAGGTGTTGGCTGTGCCCATTTACAGTTCATCCCTCTTGTCTGGATCCCCTTTGCCCGGGAGTCAGAGCTCTCCAGGGTGTTAGGTATCACGTGCCCTGCTTCTGTCAGTCCTCAGGGGTTTCTCCTGAGAGTGCCCCCTCTGCATGTCCCTCACACAAGAATCTCCATCTCAACTCTGCTCCTAAGACAGAAACAGGAGCCAATTCCTTCAGAGTGGGAGGTAGCTGTTAGGAGCTGTTTTGTTCTATGTCTTGCCTTATACTCATGAACTTCTGTAAAATAATGAGGAGCAGAAGATCCAGAGTGGCAGATCTAAGGGTAGAAATCATTCTGGTTTGTTTTTAACCCATTCCATTGACGTACAGAAAAACATGTATAGAGTAATGCCCTTCCTTACAAAGCTATAATTACAACAAGAAAACCACTCCAATTCTATAATACGACCGATCCCAAATAAACCCAGTTTTATAAAATTTTCAGAAAGCAACTGTCATACATTCTTCTTACTAGAGCTTTGTCTTCCCATCTACAGAGGCACTTCGGATTCTCATTTTAGCATTAGGATTGAACATTCCTTTAGACATTGCTGAAGATATTTCAGTGTAAGGAAATTAAAAGCATTTATCATGATGCCATAGAGGATAATAATAGAAACATATGAAAGCAAAATAAAGTATATTCAAAATAAAGACAAACATCTCAATGCATATCAATTAAATGCATTTTTGTTGAGAACTTACTCTGTGGAAATACCCCACTAGTTATTATACTTTGGAGAGCAGTTAATTATGATTTTAACACAAAAAGTTTAAGATCCGGATCTGTAAACAAATGCATAAAATTAACTGTAATATAAGCAGAAAAAGAAGAATGAGTGCAGCATTCTAATAGCAGAGATAAAGAGCTGTAGAGACTTTGAACATCTGACTAAACTGAAATCAAGCTAAGTTGAGAGACTGCAAACCACTGTGTGCTTTGTTGCCCACATGGGAGCACTAACCCACATGGTAACCAGACCATACAGGCTCACACAGCCAGGCCTAGCCCGTGCTATTCCTTCTGTACCTTGAATAAGCTTTGATGGAAGAATGGTGAGTGGAGAACGTCTCTAATCAGAGATATGCAAAATTAGGAGAGGTCAAAGACATGAAGTAACAACAGACAGTGGGCACTCGGAAGGAAGAGCGCATCGTGAGGGAAGTTTTCTTTCCATTATATTTCCAAATATAATGTGCACATTATACACAGTTTGCTTAAAAGAAACATTTGATTGGTTCTCTTATGTGTCTAAATTCCCAGTTCTATCCTTGGCTTACAATCTCCCATTTCAAAGTCTATAGCTTGACCTGAAGCAAATTTTGCATAAGTAGGTATTCTTCTAGTTTTCTAACATTTTCTAACTGTATATATATATATTTTTTGAGATGGAGATTTGCTCCTGTTACCCAGGCTGGAGTGCAATGCTGCGATCTCGGCTCACCACAACCTCAGCCTCCTGGGTTCAGGCAATTCTCCTGCCACAGCCTCCTGAGTAGCTGGGATTACAGGCGGGCGCCACCATGCCCGGCTAATTTTTTGTATTTTTAGTAGAGACGGGGTTTCACCATGTTGACCAGGATGGTCTCCATGTCTTGACCTGGTGATCCACCCACCTCGGCCTCCCAACTTACTGTATTTTAGGGCAGCATTTTAAGTCTAAGGGGAAATAGAGGCTTATACTATATTAGCAACATTCCATCATCCTACATAAAAATCTAGTCCTTCTAAGGATTCCCGACATCACTAATTTTAGGGTAAATGAGAGTCACTTCTTTTGTCATACAAGGCTTTGCATCCTAAGCCCCAGCCCAGATTCACTGAATTTCTTCTCTCTAGAGATGGAGTAGAAGGATTTGTTTTGTGCTTACCAAAGACTCTGATTTAGATACTCAGCCAACCAGACTGTACGCTTTTATTTAATACATCCTATGCCATGAAATCCTTAATAAAATCTGGGTCGGCAGTTTGCCCTGTGTACAGTCTGTTTTGGTAAGAGAGTGTTGTTCTTGAGGTTATTGTGTGGCATGTGTAAAGTTTCAGGAAAAGGGCAAGGACCATAAATGTTGTTTTTTCCAATCATATTATTAATATTTTAGGAAACAATATTTTTGACAGAGTAGAGCTCCTGAAAAATAGTCATGTTTCTCAAAAGCACAAAAGTGATTTCATATTTTATGGAATATAAAATAAAATAAATCTATTTTTCCAAAAAATGATTAGAAAGTAAATTTATATTCTATTTACACAAATAAGTAAGGAGAAAAATTCTTTAAAGGATCACCTGAGTTTCACTGTAAATAACAAGTCTACAGTATGAAATACATCAACTCTGTTTAGTCAGATAACTGAAGTGGGACCTATTATATACTTCTTATAAGAAGACACATAAGAAAGTGACATAATTATACCTTTGGTGGATAAAGGCATCAAGTCAAGATGCCACAAGAAAGAATGTCAAAGGCCCCGTATGTTTCCATACCTGCCAATCTATGAAGTGTATTGATACACTTTGTAAAACCTACCATACTCATGTATTGGTGATTAGTCAGTCCTCAACATCTCATTACCCCTGTCTTTAAAAATCTTTGACATTTTCTATCCCATTTATTGATGAAACATAAAATTTGAGAGGAATTATTGTCTTTTATGAAAGATGAGACAGCATCTTTAAATAATGTACCTGAAGCTGTATAACCAGTGTGAAGTAATCAAGTAAAAAAATTCAGATTATTTTTCCAACGTTTCACCTCTGATGATCAGTGTTGAATGTTAAATGTGTGGCAGGAGGTCTGTGGGCTCTGCTATGAAAGAGGTGTCAGTCTGAGTGAGTCCTGGGGGTGCCCTTTCTGGCTGGGTGACTTGGGTAAATTGTTTGCTATAGAACTTAGGAGTGCGTGTGTGCACTGGGCTTCTGGGAAGGAGTTTCAGTCATTGCCAACCTTGCTTTGGGCAGCTGGCTGGGTCCTGGGCCACTTTCAATCTCTGTGGCCATCTGTGGCCTGGCCACAGAAACCTGGTTTGTTTATCCAAGTCTTCCATGCAGTATTATTGCTTCCTCATGTACCCTCATGAAGAAAAATTATAAATATAATAAAATGCTTCTTAAATAAACCTTCTTGGCTTAGGCCTGTAATCCCAGCATTTTGGGAGGCTGAGCCAGGTGAATCACCTGAGGTTAAGAGTTCAAGACCAGCCTGCCCAACATGGTGAAACCCCATCTCTACTACAAATACAGAAGTCAGCTGGGCATGGTGGCAGGCACCTGTAAGCCCAGCTACTTGGGAGGCTAAGCAGGGGGATCACTTGAGCCCTGCGGGTGGGGGCTGCAGTGAGCTTTGATGGTGCCACTGCACTCCTAAATGATAGAGTGAGAGCCTGTCTCCAAGAAACTAAAACACCTTCTTTTTTCCCATTAAATATGAACACAGTGATAGCTTTGTATTTCAAAGACGTTGCAAAGGGCGTAAGCCCAGCACTTAGTACAGCAGGTATTATGAAAGTTCCTATTAAATAGGAACAGTAATGCTCCTAAGAATGTCCTCCCTAAAAATTCCATGGTACAAAACGTTTTGCCCATCATTTGAGTATATTACTACTTTTTGAGAATACATTATTTGATTCTTTTCACTTACAGCTACCAAGCCATGCGTCTGATTAGTCCATTTTCGTAAATGTAAAATTACCATTAGCCTTTTAGGTATATTGGAAATAGTGTGGAGTTATTTAGCTGGGCTGTATTCTAAGAACTTCCTTGTTTGTTGCTATGATCTTACCAGTTGTTACCACTATTATCTCCACTTTGAAGATAAACACAGTAAGACAGAGACTACAAAACTTCCCTCCAGGTAATGAATTAGCCAGTTGGGAAATTAGGATTCAAATCTAAGCGGTCTGATTCTGATTTGCAGCTTAAGCTCTCCCCACCTTGTACTGTCACCCAGCTGACCCCATGTCACGTGCTGACCACCTCCAACAGCTGACATGAAGAACTGACTTCATGTCATGAATGACTGTACATATAACAGCTGACATGAAGCTCTGACCTCACATTGCATCCTGATCATCCGTAACAGCTGACATGAGGCCAGGAGAAAGAATGATATGAAACCTAGGTTTGTGCCTTTGGAGTCACCAGAGAAGCATAAAAAGCAACTGGCTAGCATTGAAGGACAGGTGACTTGGAGGCTGGGGTGCTCACTGAGTCACAGTAGGGATCCCTCACTAAGTGATCTTAGCCAGTCCACCCTTCCAGGCATTCTGAACTTCTCCATTGACTTTGTACATTTTTACTTAGTCGATCGGCAGCAATTAACGTAAAAATGCCAGGCAACATACACCATTTAGTAATAAATTGTTTTTCACTGGAAGCATTGTTAAAGAGATTAATACCTGAGTGTAATGCTTAATCATATTTAGACTTAGCAGAGTTTTAGTATCTAAATATCTAGACTAATATAGAATCTTCTTCTAAGACCATCACTCAAAAATTAGTGAATAAAGAGACCACGATGTTAACAGTTTACTGGGCAAATTGAGCTTTGACCCACTTACAACCCAGGCCAATTTAAATATTAATATCATTCGATGTGCTGGTGCCATGGAAAAGTTTTAAGAGTAAAGCTGAAATAGTGAAAGAAACACGAATTAAGTGAAAAAGCCCAAATTGTATGTGAATATAAGTCTCCTCTATATATAAAGGAAAAAAAAAACTTTAACAAAACTTAAGACATGTTTAAGGGTAAGGCAGCAGTAGTTGCCCTGATATCCAATTAAAACTACCTAAGTATAAACTTTTTATGAACATGAAGTTAGAAAAATGAGCACAGATTTCCTTGAGTAGTGTTTTGAAAGTTGTTTTATAGGAGTACTCATTCTAATAAAAAAATCTAGGCCGGGCGTGGCTGCTCAAGCCTGTAATGCCAGCACTTTGGGAGGCAGAGGCGGGTGGATCACGAGGTCAAGAGATCGAGACCATGCTAGTCAACATGGTGAAACCCCATCTCTACTAAAAATACAAAAAAAAAACTCAGCTGGGCACGGTGGCGCGTGCCTGTAATCCCAGCTACTCAGGAGGCTGAGGCAGGAGAATTGTCTGAACCCAGGAGGCGGAGGTTGCGTTGAGCCGAGATCGCGCCATTGCACTCCAGCCTGGGTAACGAGTGAAACTCTGTCTCAAAAAAAAAAAAAAAATAAAATAAAATAAAAATAAACGTATGCAAGAAACTGATAAATTAAAAACACTTTTAATTGTGCTTGGCACTCATAAAACACTTGTTAATTGAATGAACTATAGCTTATTTTTATTTTTGTCACGTTCTGATTAATTATAGTTACAGTTTTCCCACTTTTCCCATTCTTAAATAAACTCTGTTCTGTCACACTCTTATCCTTTCATCTCCACTTCTCATTTTAAAGTGAATTTTCACTAGCATTCTTAATCTCAATGATTTCTTTCTCAACTTCTTATAGTGTTCCATTAAGAAACAAGTCAACCAGTACATTTTCTTGTCCATAATACAGAATTCTTCTCACGATATTCCATAAAAGTGTTTTGACCACTTGGAGTAAAAACAGCGTTCCCCAGATGAGTGGGTTTGAGACACAGAAAGTCAGAGCACAGAAGACACACGGTGCTGAACATCTGTCTTCTTTCCAGGACACACTGTCGTGCTCCTCGTGGCCGACGTCTCCAGGCCTGAGGTGGGAGAAGCGATGGTGCGACCTGAGACTGATCCCTCTGCTTCATTCCCGCTTCTCTCAGTACCTGCCCGGCACGGATCTGAGTCGGTGAGTCCGTGACTAGGAGTTACGCATTTTATTTAGAAAGAGACCTCCAGTCGACCTTTTAACATATCACAACATGCCTTATGATCTTAGTATGTTTTTGATAGTAGAAGGAAGAGCTTCGAAAGAATAATCTTAAACACTTACTATGCTGACGACAAAAACACAAATTGAAGCCCGGATTCTGCTATTCACTTATTGTAATGGATTCAATGTCTTTAATAGCCAATTTTATTAAGCTTCATATTTCCTCTCGTGCTGTTTTCTTCTCAAGAATATTGCATAGATCATTTGTTTGTTTGTTTGTTTGTTTCTTCATTTATTCTGAGACGGGGTCTTGCTCTGTTGCCCAAGCTGGAGTGCAGAGGGGCAGTCTTGGCTTACTACAACCTCCATCTCCTGGGCTCAAGTGGTCCTCCTGCCTCAGCCTCCCTAGTATCTGGGACTGCAGGCACATGCCGCCATGACCAGCTAATTTTTGTTGTTGTTGTTGACATGGAATCTCACCCTGTTGCCTAGGTTGGTCTTGAACTCCTGGGCTCAAGAGATCTGCCTGCCACAGCCTCCCAAAGTGCTGGGTTTACAGGCATAAACCACATGCCTAGAGCATAGTTTGTCTAAATTATAAGATTTATTTTCAGCTTTCAACGTTCTTGTATTATTGTCTATTTTAGTAAATGCAAGATTAGTAGTGTCCGCCTTTTCATTCTTGAATTTCGTTTTTATCTTGGTCAGTTTTGCTAAGGAGTTGTACATTCGGTTAGTTTTTTAAAAATGATTGATTTGGGTCTTTCTTGACTCACTTAACTTATAGATATACTTTATGAGTTTCTGCTTTTTCCCGATTGTTTCAATGTCTTAAATTTTTCAGCTAGATTTTCTGTTCTTACAGCTTTTTGAGAGAACAAAGTTCCAGGGGTTGGGAAACTTTTCTGTAAAGAGCTATATAGTAAACATTTTATGCTTTGCAGGCTTCAATGTCTCTGTCACAAAGTACTCAAGCTCTTGTGGCACAAAAATGGCCATATACAATATATAAATAAATGGGCACACCTTTGTTCCAATACAACTTATTTACAAATACAGATGGCAGGCTAGATTAGTTCCATAGGCTGCAGTTTGCCAGCTCCTCTTTTGATAATTAATTTTAAGACTTTTTTTGTCTTAAAATTTTCACATTTCCATCAAAGACTGTTTTAATCACTCCTGCAGGTTTAACATTACCTCTTGATCCATTTACAGTATTTTTGAGTATATCACATTGTATGGTTTTCTGACTGGCTGCTCGTATTATAACATATGTAGGTATTATCATATATGTGGGTAATGTGTCACAATCTACTGGTAACCTTTTACCACTTCAGATGAAATATAGAAATGTTGCTTCCATTAAGACTCCTTTATCTTTCCTGTTTGTAAAGATATTACCTTTGTTTCCTATACATACATCAAACAGTATCAGGTGGTGTTATGAGTTTTGCTTCAACCATCAAATAAGATTTTAAAAACTCATGGAAAGGATAATTGATTATAAACCGAAAGCGTACCCGTCAATGATCCTTCAGAATTTCAAAGCTTCTTTTATGGTTTCCTTTATGCTTAGGTAATTTTTTAGCCATTCTCTAAAGGTAGATTTGCTAGCATGTAATTCCTTCAGTTTTTATTTATCTAAGAATATGTTGATTTTACCTTCCTTCCTAAGGAGAATTTCCCTGGATATAGATTTTGGAGTTGACAGTTCTTTTTCTCAGTAACTGAAATATGTCAGGTATTAATGTCCACTGTCATTCAAATCGGTGTCCCCTCTAAGTAATACGTTCTTTCTGTCTGTTTTCAAGACATTTTTTTTCTTTTTCTTCAGTTTAAGAAGACTAGTTACGATGTACGTTGGCTCAGATTTCTTTAAGTTTCTCCAAAATGGGCTTTTTCTGCTTCTTAACTCTGTATTATCATGACTTTCAGCAAATTAGGAAAATTTTGATCTTTATTCCTTCAAACACTTGGTCAATCCCACTTTCCATTCTCTCCCTCTGGATTTCTGATGCAATTATTAAACCTTTTATTATTGTCCTGCACATCACTGAGAAACTTTAAAAAAAATCTGTTTTCTTTCCGTTAAACAGATTGGGAAAAGTTTATTGATCTGTATTTATGTTTTTAAATTTTATTTCCTATCATTTAACTCTGCTCTTCAGCCTATTCAGCATTTTGATTTGTGTTGATGTATTTTTCAGTTCTAGTTTATCCTTTTAAAAATAACTGATTTTTTTGCAGTTTTTTAAAAAAATATTTCTATTTGTTTTAAGAAAACTTGTAATTGCTTGTGGAAGCATTTTTAGGATGGTTAGTGTAAAATCCTTGTGAGATAATTTCAATATCTCATTCATTTCATTGTTAGTATCATTAATCCTTTTCTCATTCAACTTGTGATTTTCCTGGATATTTATGTGACAAGGTATTTAACAAAATCATCCTGTACTTTTTGGATATGAAATGTTGAGACTCGCGTTCCTATTTAGCCTGGTTTTGTTGTTGTTTTTGTCATTGCTGTTGTTTTTAGCAGTCAATCTCTTCCTTGTGTTGTACTGTGAGGATGGCTGGGTGTATATATTTAGTTTCCTACTGTACCTTGGTGACACCTGGAAAGGTAGATGGACAGGACCATCCATATTGCTTGGTTGCTACAGCATGGAGGTAAAAGCTAAGTCTCACAAGAAACCCTACTGATATAAGGAAGGAAGTGGACAGATAGGTGAGGGCAACTAGCTCCACCTCCCACCACCTCATTCCACCGTGTTGGTGATGGTGGGACAGACTCGGCTCCTTGGTGGACCACACTTGTCAGCATGGAAGGGCATAGTACTTACTTGTCCCATCTCCCACAAGCCCATTTAGACTCATTGCTGCAGGTAAGTGTGAAGGTTCAGCTGTCCATGACACCCACTGACTTTACCTGGCCAGGGAAATTGGAGTCTGCTTCTTTTAGGTGCAGGACATAAGCCCGGCTTCCTGCTAAGCCCTGCTGAAAACCTTAGGAACAGGGGACAATGGTTCCATTGGTACTTGACCGGATTAGGGCAGGTATTGCCAAAGAGTTTTGTTTTGTTTTTAGTGTACTCATTCTCTAGTCCTTTAGAAAAGGAGTAACAGGCTTTCATTGGAGCCTTTATGTTTTAAAAAGTCTTGCTGTTTGCGTTCAGACTGGAGGCTTCAGAAGGTCATGTGTAGGATATGCAGGAGGCAATAGGAAAACTCAAGGCACTTAACACTTTTCTGTTCCTGAGTTTGACGTCCCTGGGCATTCATGGCTAAGTGCTCACCTGGCGGCAGCTTCCAGTACTTTTGTCATGTTATGTGTGACGTCTTTTAGTTACATCAGGAAGCATCTGAGAAGAACGAGGCCACTCTGTCCCTGACCAGAATAAGAAATCCACAAGTATTGATATTTACGTGTTTTAAAATAATTCACTTAATGCTGTTTTATATTTTTTTGTTATAATTACTTCTTTGACCTATGAACTATTTAAAAGTACACCACAAAATTTCAAAATATTTTGAGATCTTCTAATTACCTATTTTTGCTGTTGCTATTTAGGATAATTTCATGCTGAATGATTTCAATCCTTTGGTATATGTTGAGGCTTGATTTTACTCAGCATATAAGTTATGTTGGGAAATATTTTATATGCATTTGTAAAGGATGAGTATTGCTTTTTTTTAGTGCTGTGTTGTACATATTTCAACTAGGTCATATGTGTTCACTAAAGGCTCTGCTCCTCTGCACCAGGCATTATTTTTTTCTGCTTATTGTATTAAGTTTTAGAGAAACATGATAACGTGTCCCACGGTGATGGAAGATCTGTGTATTTCTCTAGTTTGTCAACTCAGTGTTTGCTGCATATATTTAATTATGTTGTCAGATATAATTAGATTTAGAATTTTTATAAATTTATTTTGTATGATGCTTGATAATTATTGCATGTTCTATACCTTTGGAAATGTTTCTTGCCTTTAAGTCTATTCTACCTGTATTAGGATTAATAAGAACCAGATTTCTATTTATTAATATCTCCTTGTATATTTTTCTATTCTATTTGCTAAAACTTTCTTAGTCTTATTGTATAAATTGTGTCCCTTCTGCATTAAATATATATGTGTATATACACACCTATATATTATATCCATATTTGGATTTTTCTTTTTTGTTTTTAATCCAGAGTAACAAACTTGGTCATTAAATCAAATTACTCTAGTTACTTTTAATGTAATTACAGATATATTTTGATTATACCATCATATCGTTTTCTATTGAAAATGCTAGTTTTTTATGACTAAACATTTTATTTTGAAAAAATTATAAATTCACATGCACTTATGGGAAACAGTATTTTCATTTACTCTTTGCCTATTATCCCAATGCCAGCATGTTGCAAAACTATAGTATACTATCCCAGCCAGGAAATCGACCTGACAAAATTCACCACTCAGATTTTACACTTGTGTGTGTGTGTGTGTGTGTGTTTATTTCTGTGAAATTTTTATCACATATGCATGTTCCTGAATCCACCAATGCAGTCAACTTTTGTATGAAGAGTTCCATCATTGCAGGCACCCTTCTGGAAGTCCTTCATAATAGATGCACAGTTTTAGGAAACGTGATCATTTAATATATTCATAGAATTTGTAAAAATCAAGTCAGTATACTTACAATATCCATCAACTTAATATTTGTCTTTTCCTTAGGTGAGAAGGATTCAAATTCTTATTTTCCAGCTATTTCAAAAATGCACAATAGATTGTTGTAAACTATAGTCACCTTTTGAAGTATTTAATACTAGGTCTTTTTTCTTATGTTAAGCTATATATTTGTAATCATCAATCAACTTCTCTTCATTCTGTCTTCCTTCTAACATTCCTGGTCTCTGGTAATAAACAGTCTACTATCTATCTTAATGAGACCAACTTTTTTAGCTCCCACTCAAATATGAGTGAAAACATGTTAT